CTTCGCATGCTGCTGCTGCAGCGGCTGCATCTAATGTACAAGCAGGACGATTACCTGGGCCATATGGATTTGTTGATGATAGGAACAGGCAAACAATGTCTGAAGCAACTGCTGATGGTTCAGTTGTTCTAGGAAATCCTGTGGCTCCCCCTATAAATGGTGACATGTATACTGATATCAGCACTGAGAATGCCATGCTCCAGGGACCCCGGTAAGATAGTGATCATTCACATTGGATGAAGTAATTAATTATTGTTACTTTGGCTTCATCATTCTCTGGATAATATTTGAACAGGAGAACTAGTAAAGGTGTTGAGTATCTGGTTGAAGCATCAGCAGCAGAAGCTGAAGCTATAAGTGCCACATTAGCTGCTGCTAAAGCACGACAAGAGAATGGAGAAGTTGAATTACCTGACAGAGACCGTGGGGCTGAGGCTACACCTAGTGGGAAACCAATATCTTCCCTGATTAGGCCTGATTCAGCAGGACCAAATAATATTGTTCCTGGTGGAGTTCGGCTGCATCATAGAGCTGTGAGTCTATCGTTGTGATTGCAAAAAGTACTATGTCAAGGTTATCTTGATATCATTGATTGTGGCTTCTGATTTTTCTTGAATTTTCTTCAAGGTTGTCATAGCTGCAGAGACTGGTGGAGCATTAGGCGGTATGGTTAGACAGCTTTCAATTGATCAGTTTGAAAATGAAGGCAGGCGAGTCAGTTATGGAACTCCAGAAAGTGCAACTGCAGCTAGAAAATTATTAGACCGGCAGATGTCCATCAATAGTGTCCCAAAGAAGGTGAGTTTTGTGTGTCTAATTAGTTATCAAACAGGCATGGATTAAAAATGATAAATATAGTTGATAAAAATATATATATATATATATATATTATTTTAAAAATTTTACTATATAAAATTATTCAGTAAGATTTTGAGTTTCCAATATCTGATAGATCATGTCATTTTTAGATGAAAAGAGTTTACTAATTAGAATATGCTGTGTTATGGCCCCCTCCAAAATTTTTCTTCTTTGTGAAATGTGCTGTGTCTTTTGTCTCATTTTCTAGAATATCCCCATTTCAAACTGTCTTGTTATTTCAGTCTTGTTTCTTATGGAGTCATTTTACCTTCTTATCAGGTCATAGCTCACCTGTTAAAACCTCGTGGCTGGAAACCACCTGTTCGCCGACAGTTTTTCTTAGACTGCAATGAAATTGCAGATCTTTGTGATAGTGCAGAGCGGATATTTTCAAGTGAACCAACTGTTTTACAACTTAAGGCACCAATTAAAATATTTGGTGATTTACATGGGCAGTTTGGGGATCTTATGCGTCTCTTTGATGAATATGGTGCACCATCAACTGCTGGTGACATAGCGTAAGTTTCTCAATTGTTATGCGGTGTAGAATGTTATGATGATATGAGGCACTATGCTGATGGATCTCATCCTACATGGGGGTTCTCATACTTTATTAAGTAGTAGAGTGTGTGTGGTTGGCTTTATGTTTGTAATACTCTCTCTCTCTCTCTCTCTCTCTCTCTGTCTGGAGTTCATGATGCTCTTTTTGGACTATCATAAAACTGATGATTTAGATATTTAATTATGTTTCTAATGTTGTATTAATGACCATCAGATATATCGATTATCTATTCCTAGGAGATTATGTTGACCGGGGCCAACACAGCCTGGAAACTATAACTCTTCTGCTTGCTCTGAAGGTGTGCTGGATATTTGGGTTTTCGTTGTGTTTTTTATTTAGTTTGATGGCCTTAGATTTATGGATGCTTATGTGAATATTGCAGGTTGAATATCCCAACAGTGTGCATTTAATACGTGGAAATCATGAAGCTGCAGATATTAATGCCCTTTTTGGTTTCAGAATTGAGTGCATTGAAAGGATGGTAAGTAATATGATGCACTGGACACTGACTTTTTCCTTTAAAAAAAAAAGGTTCATCAACCAACCTTGTAAATCACTGGTCAGGGTGAGAGAGATGGAATTTGGGCATGGCATCGCATTAATCGTTTGTTTAATTGGCTTCCCCTTGCGGCCCTAATCGAGAAAAAGATTATTTGCATGCATGGTGGTATTGGTCGTTCAATAAATCATGTGGAACAGATTGAGAATCTTCAGCGTCCAATTACAATGGAAGCCGGGTCAATTGTGCTGATGGATCTATTATGGTTCGTCCATTTGTATAATGTAACATGCTTATGAAAGTATCATTTATGTTTATTTGGAAACTGACAACTTGAAATGTTTGTCACCAGGTCTGATCCTACAGAAAATGATAGTGTAGAAGGACTGCGGCCAAATGCTAGGGGTCCAGGGTTAGTTACTTTTGGGGTGAGTGTTCACGACCTTCTTGCATCTAATGATCATTCAAAAAATGAGCTAATGGTTAATTAGTTTTTTGATTCCCTGGATGAAAAATCACCAATTTGCATCGTTGAAGTTTCTAGATGATTAATATTATAATACTGTTTAAGATACTGACGCTATTTTGTTATTCATGAAATTCATTTTGATGTGTTTCTGCTGCTTGCTTTTTAAGTGTTTATTTAAACTCTTAGAATTAACAGTCTGGCATTTTGATCTGACATGCTTGCAAGTGTGATTCTCATATCTTGAAAGATAACAAAAATGATTGATTCCATATATTAGGTAGCACTAGAGCTTCAAAACACTGTAATGCATGCACTGCTCTAAATATTTTCCTTTTGGTACCTTTTTGATACGTGCCTCCTGTGACTGTACCGACAAAATAATTGCCTCTTGTGAAGGGGTAAAATGAATTGAATTGTAACTAAATTACTGTCTCGTGTTTTGCATAAAGTCTAAGTTGAACTGTAGTACTCATAGCTTATATATGGAGCAGTTTTTTTTTTTTTTAGATTTTATATTACATATAGATATATAGATGATGGTCATATTGGCCTAGCTTGATGGTTCCTGTACTTTTTCAAGGTTAAAACCTGTCTTGCCTTAGATTAACATGCTCTGTATGCTGCTATGCTCATCTTGATGACGTTTACTATTGTAGCCTGATCGTGTCATGGAATTCTGCAACAATAACGATCTTCAGCTGATTGTTCGTGCTCATGAATGTGTGATGGATGGCTTTGAGCGTTTTGCTCAGGGACATTTGATCACTCTATTCTCAGCTACAAATTACTGTGGTAATTTCCTGGCTTTTACATGCAGAGAGCTTATCTCCTCATAACATTTACCCTTCTGAAGTGTGAATCTTGTTCAAAAATAGGTACTGCAAATAATGCTGGGGCGATATTAGTATTGGGCAGAGATCTTGTTGTGGTTCCTAAGTTGATTCATCCATTGCCACCTGCACTCTCTTCCCCGGAAGCATCACCAGAACGTCATATTGAAGATACATGGATGCAGGTACTGCAACTTTATTCTTAAATGCTTTGCACTTTCTTGGTGCTGTATTGCTCCTATCAAATACAAGCGATAAGCTTTCAAGTGTATCTTGTGCTGATGCCGTAGCGCTCTTGTCACTATGTTTTAAGCTTTCTACTTCCAATTTTGTTAATATGCCTAGGAGTTGAATGCTAATAGACCGCCGACTCCAACTAGAGGTCGTCCTCAAGTTGCTAACGATCGAGGTTCCCTTGCCTGGATATAAAGACAGAAAATGTCTCTGCTCCCTAATATTTTGCCTAAATGGCTTGTGCTATCGACTGGTTTCCCCGTGTTCTGTAAATAGCATGATGCTGCCGTTCGTGGGGTATATTCGAACTTGTGATCTCAATCCCAGCACAAGGCTTGAAGGCTTTCTTAATTTCGGTTTTCATAACTCTATCAGCAGGCCTTGCGAACTTAAGTTTGAGGTGCAGATAGGTTGCTACTGCTGGTTTACTTTAGAAGGCTTGGAAGTTTCACTCTGGTTTCACCCCCGTGCTGTAAATTGAGCCACAGGCACGATGGTCATGGCTATGTCTATTATAGGTTATAAGTGTTGCCTCTTGTCATTAATTTTCACAAGGTTTTTCACTTACCATCCTCAGCCAATTATCCCAAAAAAAAAAAAAAAGGAAGTTGAGAGGACAAGAGGGTATTTTTCTTTTTTCCTTGCCTTCTTTAAGGTGATGGTGAAATATATAAATCAGAAACCTTTCTTCCGGTCCCTGTATTATAGAGATTTTGTTTTGTGTAATTCCCATCCTAGTTCTGTACCATTATTTTTTGTGTGAATTAGCTTATTCTGACTAAAAATTTTGATTATAGTTGTATTTCGCCCTCCACATTTGAGTTTGGGCATTGAATTTGCATCTGTATTTTGCCTTCCGCCACAAGGAAGACCTTGTAGTGTGCGTGAGTTGTTGTTCCCAGGGTAGGCGTGGCGGGGTCACGTGCGTTGTTGCCTTTCATTAAAGGATTATGTATGGGAGATCAACTCTTGTTTTGGCTCGAACTTATGTGATTTTAGTCAGCCAATGTCGTGGCTTGTTGCTGTCCATGATTGTGGTTGAGGATTTGTGATCGAATAGCAGCTAAAGTAAAATTAAGTTTGACTTTTCTGAAATTAGGTATTTGTCTTTAATTAAATCAAAACATATAGATGTTTGATATATTATTTATTTTATAATAAATTTTTATTATTGATATTATGATCGTATTAAAATTTACTTCTTTTTATTTGATTGAATAAAAATATATTAAATATATATTTTATTTATTAAAAAAATGTAAGATATTTTTAAGTATTTAAAAATGCAATTAATAAGGTTTTTCAAAAACATCATTAACTAGGAATGTAATTAATAAATTTTTTTTATTAACACATCTTGGTAAACAACGACTGCGTATAAACACAGCACATTTACAGAAAGCAAGCTGGTTGAAATTTATAGCCCATTCAAAATTTGATCCCCACACTGCCAGGACGTGATTTACCCGGCAAGAGGGACTTAGCATCGAGGTTTCTCTTTCCTTTTACTATTTTTAGAAACAAAAAAACAAAAAATCGACTATCGCCTCCAATCAAACAGCGATATTTTCCATGCACCAAAGTCCCGATGTCTCTCTAGCATCGACATTAACAATATATATTGATGTTGCCAGCTAGGTGTAGCTATTTTCACTCGGATAAGGAGGTCAACGCTCAAGATGCCTCTCATCGCCACAACAAACATTTATGCAAGTTTGATTTTGATACAAGGGATTGCCTACATGGACGACTTCTCCTGAACTTCTAAATACCAGCAATTCGGATTGCCTATGAAATTCTTGAACACAGTTGACGAGCCTAACCGCGCTTCACAGGCCTCTGAACGTAGGATTTGTTGGGATCTTCAGTCTTAAGTTTTGGAGGGCGAATCTCTCCTTTCTTACCCTGCCAGATGAAATCAAAGGGGTAATTCAAAGTCCCCAATTCATTGTTTACCCCCAACTAGCAGTGCTAACGTAATGAGTTTGCTAGTGTTAAGAAGAATTAAAAGTCAGCAATCTCTAACCTTCTTTCCGGCCTTCATAAAATCTCTCCAACTGGATACCTGATAATGAAATGGTTGTCAGCTTTTGTTTACTTCAGTATGAGGGTTTTATTTTTTAAAAAAGAAAAGAATCACTGCTTGCCAACAAAATTTTGTTGGAAGTTGTTGAGCATAAGGGGCAAAACATACATGATGGAAAATGGAGGCTCCTACTAAGAGTAGAACACCAAGGCTATTACATTGATTTTAATGTTATCTTTAAATTCTTAGGATTTATAAATTTAGTTTGAATTAGGACTTAAAAGATTTATCCTACTATCCTATCTTACCTAGGATTACTTTATACTTTATTATTTATCTTTATATTACTCCCTTTGGTTCCATTATAGGACACTTGAAGGATCTTTTGATCCTTAACATGAGGCACCTTATATGATATTAATTACATTTTCTCAATATTACCCATATTTAAACTCATTAAATATGAGAGAGAATGTAATACAAATTTAAAAAATTTTCATTTAAGTAAAAATAAAATTGAAAGTTTAATCTATTTTTAAATAAAGTTAATGACTTAACCACCTTTCCTCAGTTCTAATAAGGTAGTTAGAAGTGTCTTACAATAAGTACCGAAAGAAGTATCATTTAAAAATTTATTAGATTTACATTATTTTAAAAAATTGTATCTAAGGCTCTACAGATAGAGCTAAACTCTCCTTAAATGTTAGGCCTCATCGATAAATTGAATAGAGTTGAGAATTTTGTGTTGGCACTCAGGTTCTTTTTTTCTCCCTCCTTTCTCTGCTCTCTTCCCTCCCCTTCTCTTTGTTTCAAACCAATTAATCTACATGCTAAGCACCACCGAAGACTAAGTCAGTCAAACTGGCACCATATCAAAGGGGTCACCTTATTTCCTGGTCGGTGCCATGGCATTTCAAAAGCCAAGATACCAGCCGGCCACCCTAGGTCAATATATTCATTACACTGCCTACATTAGGTCATATTAAAGATAATTCATCCGTTATTCAGAAAAGGAATCAAACGCATTGGTATCTCTAAATTACCTACAGTGAAATAAAATTATTTTTTTAATTTATTATTCCCACCATAAAATCTGAATTACTAAACTATTTTCGTCCAGAATTCCAGATCATTTTCTGCATGATGCCAGTCAGCCACGTATGAAATAAATAGAAAACTAAAGCTAACCCTCTGTTCCCTGGTTCCTTCCCACTGCTCCTCATGTTCACGCTTTCTTTTCCACATCTCCTTCTGTTCCTCTTCTTCCCGTTTTAGTCTGCCTTCCTCCTCTGATATCTACATAAAAATGAACCAATGATCGCATAACATGAATTAGCTCAAATGTATTAATTTTTTCCGTTCAGATTTGAAAGTAACCAATTTTCAATGATCTCAAATTTGAATCATGCCCTCCCTGAGCCACATGGAAAAGAAAAAAAGGAGAAAAGGACCCCATACCCTCATTTGCATTTTTCTTCTCCTCCATTCTTGTTCTGTTAATAGCTCACGGACCTTGAGTTTAAGCTCCTGCTGGAATTCCTCTGATTGTTCATATTGATGATCATATTTTCCCTGTGATGCACAAGAGACACACATGGATGAACTTTTGAGGAACATTAAGGCATACAGCAGCAGCAACAAAAGCATGACAATTTATCTTTTCGTGTAAATAAAAGTGTGACAATTGCAGATTTTACCTTTTCTCATATATGCCCATTTTGGATTTTATCTTTTCATGTAAATATAAGGGTGACAATTTCAGATTTTATTGATACTTAAATAAAAGCATGACAAGCTAACTATACAAGGTTAAGGTCTAGCAATATCACCAATAAGTGTACATTCATACTCCAATTTCAAAGACAAACAAGGGCACAGTCAGACAGATGATAACACAAGAGCATATGAAATTCTAGGTTGTCAACTCCTAATTGATGAAGATCACCACCAGGAATATGAATCATTCTAGTAGTTTTGGCACATACCTCTTCTACCAAAGACTTAATTTTTGAAGCAGTATCTTTCTTCAATTGCTTCTTCCTCTTCGCTCTAAGCTCCTCTGTAGCACAAATCAATAGAAAAAACAAGAATTTTTGTTATATGCCTCTACCCTAGGGAAGTTTGACACCATGCCACGAATTTGGAAACTCTAATTCTCAGCACAGATATATTTTATATTTTACCTTGGGTTCGTATGTATGCCACAGCAATCATAACAATGAACTAAAAATAACACGTCATGCATCATTGATAAGTGAAAATAAAAAGAAAAAGATTTGCCCTATCATGAGTTCTCTAAAGATGATAGAATTAGGGGAGAAATTATGTATAGGTCCCGTGGAAGCATACTTATTTACAAATAAGTCCCGCAAAATTTAGAAATCATAGCCAGGTCCTTTGGAACCTGAGTGTAATTTGAATTTGAGATACAAAGACAATATTATCCCTATTAAAAATACTAGAGTTACAGTTGTAAAATATTGAAGCATGAGTTGTAAATTATTGATGTAAGTAATTGTAAACAACTAGTGTTAAACTTTGTTGGCAACACCTGATCAATTTAACTATTAGATATACAAAGTTATTATTGTAAAATGTTGAAGTGATAGTTGTAAATATTTGATTGATATAATATACTTTTAATCGGGGCATTATTGTCTTTGTAGCCCAATTTTAAATTATACTCCGGTACCAAAACGCTTGGCTGTAATTTTTGAATGTCGTGAAATTTAGATAAACATAAACTCCGAATCCCTTACTTTGTTTGAGTTTTGCTATAGGTCCCTACATGTTTATTTTTTGATATTCTAGGTCCCTATAACACCGCTCATGAAAGGACCTAGAACAAAAAAAATAAAATATAGGGACCTAAAACATTGAAAAAAAAAGTACAAGAACCTATAGCAAAACTCAAGTAAAGTACAAGAACTCAAAGTTATGTTTTTTTCTCTAAACTTATTTGTAAATATGTCTGTTTCATGAGACCTATACGTATTTTTCCCTAAAATTATTTCCCAAAATATAGTACGATAACTTTTTTGAGCAAACTGAACCTCTGTGAAATGAAGTTTCAGCTTTAACAAGGTAAGAATAATATGCCGAATTAAAAAAAAAAAAAAGCATGCACATACCTTTTGCTGAATTAACTTGGCTGAGAAGGTAATCTCTTTCATTTTGATCAAGTAACAATTGCTGGGCTTTTGCTAATGCTGCACACAAGTAAATAACATAACATATATTTAGAAAGTAAACAAAAACTTCAAGCCGTCAAGCTGCAGAGCTTATATCAGTGTTAATAATCCCTTTCAGTAAAATAGAAAAGAAAAAAATGTTAAATTACATGACGATATAAACTTTCAACCAAGAAGGAGATTAAACATTCGAAACAGAATCAACGTAAACATGGAGAGGCCTCAATTAAGTACCCAGCTTGCTGAGTGCCTGAGTAAAAGATTTTACTTATTGACTTGTAGCAAGCTACAAAGCAAGGGATACATGCCCTAACAAATTTAAAAAACTATTGATTCCTGAATGATCTATGCACAATGAAATTGATAAATTCTTTAATTGTCCTTAGCTTCTATTATATGATTGAAATACAAATGGGAAGCAACAATATCCAGGAAATAGTCAAGCAATGGCCACTGGGAGTGCTGTGGATTTCTATTTATTTTGGTTTGTAATAGGTATCTAGTGGAATTGGGAACTTTACTCTAAAAGCTAGTTGTTGAGGTAGGAGAACCAACGCACTCACTTAAATACCTCATTGAACATCTCATACTACTCAATGTAAGATTTAATATCCCATATTACTAAGTCTCCATCAATGGACCCTCATAGAAAGCCGACGTCCCAATGGCTACACTCTATGACACTCAATGTCTTGTCAATTAGAATCTTCTATAAGTAGCCCTCTTCGGAACCTCCAACAACCTAGGACCTGTGAGTTATGGGCAATTGATGAGTACCTAAGTGGGATGGGGAACCCTACCTCAAAAGCTAGCTATTGAGATGAGGGAACTATCCCACTTAAATACCCTATTGAACATCCCACACTACTCAATGCGGAACTTGATATGCCATACTACCAAGTC